GAGGACCCTGCCCCATCCTTCGAGCGACGCGTCCGTGAACACCTCCACGTGAGACACGGCGCAGGGCAGAGTCACTCCGTCCCGCAATAGACCCGGAGTGAGCCAGAACCTGATGTTCGATGCTGCCACTTGGGGAACCCAGACCAGCCTCCCCCCGTCCCGGGAGGGGTGAAGCCTGAGGCGTGAGAACCACCTCTGAAAATTCCTCATGTGGAGAAGGCCTAGCCGCACCACAGCATGAGCCGCCGCCCTCATTCCCAGCAGGGACCTGAGGCGCCGAGCGGGAACTCTGGGGCCCGCCAGAACCTCCCTGGGCAGACGGGTAGTGCTCATCCGTCTGTCCACGGACAGTGCAGCACGGAATGTCACAGAGTCTAGCTGCAGGCCGAGATAGATCATGCGCTGAGCCGGTTGCAGCCTGCTTCTACGTCATGGTGCTACGTTCCTTAGCGGACTTCGCTAGTGGGAACACGTGCACCTAATCGTAGAACTTAAGTTACAATAGGTAACTATTAATTTTCTCCCTGTTCACCACAGAGCCCAGGCGCTGTATGTGGGACAGGACCCAGTGCGTGTGACACTTCCCTGGATGATGCCAGAATTAACCAGTCGTCTAAGTAGGTTAAAATTCTTACCCCAGCGCGTCTGAGGACTTTTCCACGCATTGGAAAAGTCCGAGGCGCGAGTGCATAAGTACTCGTAATTCCTCTCTCCCACTGCGAACCGCAGAAACCTCCTGTGTTCTGGCACTATGGGCACGTGGAAGTACGCATCTGTCAGGTTTATGGAGGACATCTAGTCTCCCTCCCTGACACACTCGAGTAGCTGCTTTGTGGGCAGCATCCGAAACTTCCGTTTGGAAAAGCACTCGTTCAACACGCGCAGATCCAGAATGGGACGCACCCCGCCTGACTTCTTTGGCACTAAGAAGTAAGGGGAGTACAGCCCCCTGGTGGCGTCCTGCGGGTCTACCTCCACTGCTGCGCCTCGACTCAGCAGAGAGGAGACCTCCGCTTGCAGTGCCTCTATTGATCCCCGTATCTGAGAGCGCACTGCCCGTACACCTCGGAATGGTGGTGGCTTATGGAAGAATTGCAGTGCGTAACCCCTGCGCAATGTTTTCTCCAGCCATATACTGTCATCCAAACCCTGCTCCCTCCAGATGCTGTAGAAGTCTGTGAGGGGCGGAACGGGAGCTGAAACACGAGACGTCACAGCCCCGCCCTCTCCTGGTGTTCCTAGCAGGGAGGGGGGGTGGCCGAAGGGCCGGGGGGCCCCCTGCGTCACACCGTGAGCGCCGGGGGCGGTCACGTGTTCTGCAGGCCCGACGTCATAAGTACGGGACTGCTCATCACACGTGACTCGGCTGCTGTGCCCCCCCCTGGCTCTTGCCTCATGGAGGGGGGGGCGAGCCCCTGGAGTGGGAAACCCCGTGTTAGCCTTGTAGCTCTGCTCACCACACGTGACTCGGCTGCTGTGCCCCCCTGGCTCTTGCCTCATGGAGGGGGGGACGAGCCCCTGGAGTGGGAAACCCCGTGTTAGCCTTGTAGCTCAGAGATGCTAACACGCGTTCGGCTGGAGCACACACATTATCACTTACCAGATCCCTCCGCCTGCCCTCTCTCCGGGAGGGCAAAAACATGAACCCGTGAATCGGAGCCCGTGGCCCGCGTAGCACGCTGCACGCCCTTCTCTGGGGGCTGCAGGCCTAGCGGAGCCACGTTATATGCTCGAGAAGTAACACAATCAGAATTCAAATCATTTGACATGTTACATACCCCCAAATGAGACTCAGACAGCGAGTACTGATGAAATGCCGCACGGCTTTTATTGAAAGAATTCTTCCCACCCCGACCTCCTCTGCCATAGGGAGGTCGTCGGTGGGTGCGTTGCTCCCGCGAGCCACCCATGGGTCTGTCTGGACCCGGGGGCCTCGTCGAGGGGGGACGATGGATAACAGAGCGCGGATACGGGTCAGGATGCCTCCCGGGCCAACGTTCTCTGCCTCTGTCCCGGCTCCGTAATGGCTGGTGGGCCTCGCGCCTCGGTGCTAGGTGCGGGGCTAGCCTAGCCGAGTCTTTAGCTGCAGACTCCAGTCTCGCCACCAAGGCCTGCATGTCCGGGCCCAAGAGGGACATCTGAGAGGTGGGCAGGTCCAGCAGCTGCCTCCTCTCCGCCTCCCTGATATTAGCCAGCCCAAGCCAAAGGTGCCTGGCCCGACTTGGGCTGCAGCCATGGAGCGGCCACCCTCCACAGCTAGCGTCTGGCACATGCGCAGAGTCGCAGCCGAGGTGGTCCTCGCCTGTGACAGGAGGTCTCCACTGAGCGCCTGTCCAGAAGAGAGCGACATATCCAGGGCCCCCGTGATGAATGCCATGTTGTTAGTCAATGCGAGGGCCTGTGCTGCATTGGCATAACATCTATCCAGCATCGCCAAGACATCCTGTCCCGCTCGGAGGGAAGGAGAGGTCTGGTGCCGGGCCACACGGATGCGGAGGGCTGCAGGGCCATGCGGACTGAATCCTCGACGTCCTGTCCCGCTCGGAGGGAAGGAGAGGTCTGGTGCCGGGCCACACGGATACGGAGGGCTGCAGGGCCATGCGGACTGAATCCTCGATCACCGGTCCAGGACCAGTCCTGCCCGCTGCAGTACATGTCGTACCCCAGAGCAGGCCTCTTGGCTGCTAGGGGCTTAGGCCACTCACGTGTCGCGTAATGGACGAACGGGTCCATCCGCGGGCACAACGTGGGTCGCATCCTCCTCCTTCCTCGAGTGGTGGCACCCACCGAGGTGAAGTCCTCCACCGTCTGGATCCAGTGACGACGTCCGACGCCGGAGGGCGAAGGGAACTCGGACGAACAAGGAAGACATCTCAGAATGAAGTACTGTGGTAGATCTCAAACGGCGCCAGAGTGAAAGAGGGGGTGCGGCCTTGTGCAGGGGCATTTATGGAGGAGGGTGGCTGGTGATTAGAGCAAATTATTTTGATCTCTCTGGCGTGTGACCTGGGGGTCACGTGATATCCCACTAGCGAAGTCCTAAGGGACGTAGCACCATGACGTAGAACAGTTTATTTTCAACATAATGTGGTCAAGTATTCTGCAACACCTCAGAACTGTCTTTGAATGCCAAAAAACCACTTCCCCAAATGAGGCCTGACATCCACTTACCCTGTATTGCCCTGTACACATTGCTCTTTTCAAAAGGCATTTTCCCCTTGTGTCCCCTGCCCTTCATATTAAAGTGGCTCATCAGAGAGTTGCAGAACAATCTGAGGGAAAGTGATGCCTCATTAAAAGATATCTGAACAATATCCAATAATACACAGTCTAAGAGTATTTCAAAACCCGAGGACATAAACACTATGCATGTAATTAAAATACAGAACAAGAATCAATCAATTTAACAAGAGAAAGACAAAGGACTAGACTGAAATAGAGATTGTGAACAGCTGTGTTTTGAGTTTGGTTTTGTACAGTGTTTACAGAGTACAACACCTGTTCAACTACCTGCTTGTGCCTCCCATGGATGTATTATTGTGCATCCCCAAAATCACAGGGGCAGTAAAGTGATGGAGAAGCCTTCTTGTACGGGAAAGAGAGCCTAGAGACAGGGGGACAGCAGGGAGAGTTGCACTGACACTTCGCAGGCTGCTTACAGTATTGATTTACACTGAACTTTAACAGAACTAGCATTGCACCATGCTAAATGTTCAGTGAAATAGTTAAGTTACGAGTGTTCATGTCCTAGTGATATGTCTGTCAGTAAAACATGTCATTCAAATTCTAAAATCATGATTGCCACCACTGACTACTTAATATGCCAATTTGATAGGTGAATTGAATACCTAACTTACAAATGATAAGACACTATCAGTGAAATAAATAGGATGACATAAAGTTGAAGTTACAGCCTTATGAAATTAAGATGTCTGAATCCAGTTTATTATGACAGAACCCCTGGCACATAAAGGGTTAACTGCCAAAAGCGATAACACAACCTACCGGTCAAGAACTTTGTGGACACAGTCCTTCAGGTCCTTCCCTCCAACCCGAGAAAGCTGCTGCAACTGTAGAGAACAAAAGAGAAAGAGGACATCACATTCAGTGCTGGAAGTAAACATAAGACCAGGTTAGAAAACATGTCAGGACCAGTGGGGGAGGGTCCCAGCTCAAAAGTGGGCAAAATGACGTGCGCTGACATGCTGCAATACCACCCCGGGTCGATGGGGGTAGACCCAGAAGTAGAATTAGCTAACATATAGCATTGGCAGACCTCTCAAAAACGTCTTTACAGGATGGACCAAAAGTTGGCTCTTGGCCCAAAGCTCCGTTCCACATGTGTGTCAATGCTGAGGGGGGTGGATTTTTTTGGTCCACTCTAGTTTACTTGCTGTGAATTTTTTAAGTCTCTCGTTCAAATGAATGGAGCTGCGCCGGCTGACGCATGTGCAGATGCGTTTTTTCACAATTTTCTTGTGGGCGGGACCACTCGCGGCCATTTTGGATTGCTCCAGTAGAGCACATTTTTTGGCCCATTAGTTAGAACGGCGGAGATAGGCGTGACTCTGTCCATTAATATATACAGTCTATGGTCAGGACACATGACATGCTATGTGTATTATTCATTTAGGGGATCATTTGGTGCCACAGCTTTCATATCACAGATATTAGTTAGGTTACTTCCTCTGACCAAGAATTGCAAACCAACAGTCAACACCACGTTAAGCAAGCCATTTTCTTTTGTGGAAAACTCACCATGCTCTGGAAGGTGTCCTCGTTGGCTAGATCCTCCTCCAAGCTCAAGTACTCTGACATCTCTTCTAGCCTTTTCAGATTTGATGTGTGGTGAGTGGTCGCTGAAGAGCCCTTTTAATGTCCATGTGAATGGCCACTAATTTTGCCAACACCTTTTTCTTAAATTCTAACAACATTAACACAATCATGCACATTAGATGCATCATTCATTATGCTTCCTCTGATGTATTAAAAATGTAAACTTACTTGCTGTGGACATTGGAAATTGGGGAGACAAATTTCTTCCCGATCTCTCTCTCTGTGGGGGAGATTGACGGGAACGGGACCTCTCTCTCTGTGGGGGGGATTGATGTGACCGGGACCTCTGTGAACGCCACCTCGCTCTCAGTGGGGAGGATCGTTCTTGAAACCCATCCTTGTTCCTTGTTGTAGAGGAAGAAGGAACTGGAAAATAATGGGTGGAAATCTGGATGTGTCAAATTACAGGGTTTATCACACATTATTAGACATTCAAAATGACCATTGTTGACTTCAAATACCCATATTCCAAATTTGAGAACTACAGTGTGATTCATATTTGCTAACCTGTATTAAAAGCGGAAGTTGGAGAATTGGCATTTCTTTACAGTCTGAAAGTGTACAGAGAGACTGCCACAACCTAAACAGACTAAACTACAGACCTGAAATGAAGACATGACAAATACTCACATACTGGAGACATTTCCCGATTGACAGGAATAGATGTACTTTGAGTATCTGAAACAAGCAAGAGTTTGTTTAACAACTTCCTTTGGAAATCATAAACATGTCATATGCTGAATCTACATTCTCACATACATTTAGTCCATCATCAATAATGGTGCCCAAATATGTAAAACATTTCAAATTGCCACAGGTTCATAAGAAATGAACAGTGGTTTTGGAACCCCTGTTTGATTAACAATAAGCATTTTTTACCTGCATTAACAAAAAAGCTGTTCTTGCACCACTGTTTTAACATAGAACACAATCCACATAGTCAAATATGCTGTCATTCTAATGCCATATCATCTACATTTGTATAGCTTTTACTCACAAGAATAAATGTCAGCAGGTGGAATAGGGAAGGGCAGTAATTTTCCACCTAGTTTCAAGAACATAAAAAGTCCACAAATTAAGGTTATTACGAATAATGTTTCCTTTGAGTGCTGACAATTTTCCAGGCATAATCTTGATTAGGGCAAACCATAAGCTGGAAGGTGTGGTACAATGTACTTGTATGGTGCGCTTGGGATAAATGTGAGTAAGATGTGTGCTGTAGGCATACATGTGTTGTGAACATAAAATGTAACCATTCAGATCACCTGTATCAATGAAAATTTAAACATTAATATTAGATCACAGAAAAATGAAGGGTAAACCTGGCAACTCCTGCTTCTTGCTTAATTTAACAGTTCATTTTCTGTAGCCCTGCTATGCCATTGAGACATTATCCCTTCATAGAGGATTCATTTTAAATCAGCAAGTTGCTTAGTCTAGTGCGCAATAGTCTTGACAGGCCCCTGTTGTAAACAGTGCTTCAGCATAAGATCCATTATCACTTACCCATTCTGCTCTCCTCTCCATTATCAGAATCTGGGAATGGGGTGAGAACCAGTTATAACAAAACTCACTTTAATGACCATTTTCTATGCCATCTATTTATGCTGTCATAATCAATATGATATTAAACAGAAATACCAGTGATGTAATCTTCAAAGCACCCCTTGGCCAGATTTTTCTGGGGGAGGATGATTTCTTTACACCCCCCCCTCCTCCTCCTCCTCTTGCTGGCTGGTCAGAGCATAACTCTCACACTCCTGTAAATTGTCTGTAAAATTCAATACAATTCCAGCTCTTTCCACAAACAATTGGGTCAACAGTTGGAGTCAAGTATACCAAGATAGGACATCCAAATATACCTGAAGTGACTTTAATTTTTATCAATGGGAATGACAACCAGTCATCCCCTGGGTTAATTTTTGCTTTAAAAGCAGACTGAGCCTTCTGCCTAGGCCAAAATATTTGATTGCCCTTCACGCAATTGAAGGGAACTGTGCCCTCCATCTCCTTGCCCTTCTCCACCCATACAGCTCTGGCATACATCTGAAAAGCAGAACACAACTTTTAGAAAAGAGTTAAAACTATTCTTATTCAACCACATAACCGTAGATGACAAATTGATTGAACCATCAAACAAACGGCATAGCATGGTTACCGGAGTCAGTTGTTTAAACTTGAACAGTTGTTCTGAAATGCAGTCTCTGTGGCAAAACCTGAAATCGGACTGTAAGAATATTATTACTATTGAGTAGCAGCATTCAACTTGAAATGAGGTTTCTTTGGTCGAGTGCTCATTTGTAAATCGTACGGTAAATTGTATCGAGAATGGAGGCATATGAGGAATTGAAATAATTAAAACATCCGGATGAGGGGGAGATGAAGAGACATTTGAAGAACAAATAGGAATTCTGCCAAAATTATTGCAAAGTGAGCAGCAGAGACTAATGTGGGAAGACCAACAGCAGAGAAAGTACCATACTCACAGATGTAGCTTTGTTTATTTAAATCAAATCATTGCTCACTCATTAAAAGGTGGCAGCAAAGTGCTGGGTGATTACAATTTAACATAAATTACAACATAAAAAACAAATTCAACAAATTATGTTCAGTGCTCAATGCCATGCCTCAGAGGTATGAGCACATGTCCCCCCTCTTCTGGCAGAACCACCACCTTACGCTGTAAGTCACTCTCCCATATGACCCTTCTTTTTATGGTTTGCCTTCTAGCGTACACAATATTAATAAGGGCAGAGTTACATGGCTGCATGAAGTAAGGCACCTATCGACCTATCGAACACTTCACACAAAAGAGACCCATCAGCTCTTCTCTCAAGCACAAACGCAAACTGTTGATTGTTGCTCAAAAGGAAGCAGCGGTCTCTTGGCTTTGCTGATATTATGCGTCTTGACGTTGACTGTGTTGGTGTAGCAATCTCGCTCTCAGACAGTCGCCTACTAATCTGCTCGAGAGGATTTCTGCCATTCCGAACCATTTTTTTCAACCTTTGGAGGTAGTTCTCAAAGGGAAAGCATGACAGATTATTGAGAGACCTTCCGAAGTTTTCGGCATCCTCATGTAGATGTAGCAGCCCATGCACATTGTACACAGAAAAAGTTGGGCCATAGAGTACGGGGCAAGATGATACAAAGTGCCTCAACAGCTCATGTGCATAGTGCAAGTATGCATTCCGTACATAATCATTGGCGTCAAGTAATATGGACATGGCAATAGTCAGTGTTAAGAAATATCTATACCGTTCAGGGTTCAGTATGTTTCGCAACACCACTGGACCCGTGTATAGAAGCAGCTGCCTGTACTCTCTAGCTTTCCAGCGCTCTAGAGTATCTAGACCTCGTGGTTGCCGGGCAAATTTCGCTGGGCATATTACCACGTAGTAAGCAGAGTTTGGCTGTAATCGCCATTCTCTGTCGCACTGACAAGCGGCATGTTTTGGGGCCATTCAGCAAAAATGCCATCAAGCGCCTAACCACACCCAAGCACACCATGTGCATGTAATCCAGGCAGAATCCAGTGACACAAGGAACTTCAGCGGCTATAAATGGGCTAATGCCGATTTGATGTTGGGTCATATTCCTGCCTGCTGAAGCCTTGGTCTGTGCGAGGTGGGCAGTCATTCGCTCTGTTGAACACAATGCGCCGCTCAGTATACTCTCCTCTCACGGTGCATCGTTCGCAACTTGAATAAGAGGTGTGGGTCTTGATGGTCTTCAAGTATGCTCTTGCAGGAGCATCGCACACAATTGCCTCGATTTTAACTGAGTAAGACCTCCCTTTGTAAATTACTCCATGGTCCCTCAAGCGATTGTACTCCAACAAGAAGTCATGGAGATAATCTTCCAGGGGAGTTGGCTTTTTCTGACCACAAAAGTTTGCCACAATAAATGGGTCAAAATGGCCAAACTTGGCTAAAATAGGCCAGAATTGGAGACCACTGCTTTTAAAGATGGGAATCCCATAAATGTTAATTCTGAGATTGATAGCCTCATGATGCTTCTCCCTGCTCAGCAAACGGCAAATCCCCCTTTCCAGGCCATAATAAACATACTGGCCACCACACTTTGTCTGGCTTGATGTTTCCTGCGGGGTAGCCAGTACGGTTCTGGCATCTGCCGGCAATTTGTGACCCTTCTTTCTCAATATGGCCAACAATTCGTTGAGTGACATGCAGCCCACGGAAATTCAATTTGGTGGACGTCAGCCAAAAGCTACCCCCTCCGGGCCGACTCGCATCCCCAGCCTATCGCACAGCAAACGCCCCCTTCCAATCACACCGTGCCGGACAGGCCAGCCGCTTAAAAGCGGAGAAACTCCCACTTACGGCCTCCCAAAGCCTCGCAAGCCCTCGAAGCCTTGCAGAGAATCGTCTGGAGGAATCGTTTGTCTACTCACGCTACTCGGCGCGACCCTGGCGTCCTCCGTCTGGCTGCTTGTGGTCTGCTCCTCCTCCGCGTCCCTGCACTGGTCTGCTCCTCCTCCGCGTCCCTGCACCTGCTGTGGTTCGCATGTCTCCACTGCTCTCCTCCTCTGCGGGCTCTTTCTGCGGGCTGCTCCGCGGGTTCTGTGCTGCTCGTTCCTCGTGGTCTGCTGCCGCACGCAGAAGGTCTGGCGGTGCCGTGCGTGTCCCTGCCTCGATTGGCGGTGCCGCGTTGTCCCGTTGCTTTCCCAAGTCTCCTGGCATGTGAGTACAGTGAGTGTGCCGACCGCGGACGGATTAATCCCGGAGTTTTGGGCTGCAGGCGATTGGTTTTTGCCCTACGCACTTGACTGCAGGCGTCAGTTTTTTCGCCCCGTGCTTGGTCTGCAGGCTCCGTTTTCACATGTGTCTGAGCTAACCGAGGGGCAATGCTTATTAAATGGCATCAATCTCTATCGTCTGGGGGATATACGAGGAGCTATGTGCATTAATCCAGATTCATGTTCTGCACTTGCAGTAAAACCATGCATTTAAATAGCTAGGTCGCTGGTATTAAATTAGGTAACTAAACTGCAGTTGTCGCATTTTGAAAGTGCAGCAGAAAGAAAAAGGGCCCAACGTGAATCTGCAATGGGTGTGAAGTGGTGTTGGAGCTATGAACGCATGGATCAGTGATCGTTCATGCGTATCTGCCATAACCAAAGCAGCAAGATGGCCCCAGGGGACGTCTGTTATTCGCATGGGATGTTTCGGATTCGGGTCGATTTTTTCCTCAGGCTGTTACACAACCATGGGCATGGTTCTCTGACCGCCGCTGCTGCCGGTCCCCGCTGCCGTTCCTACTGATGCCTGATCCCGCCGCCGCTGTTCCTGCTGCCGCTCCTGCTGCTGTCTGTCCCTGCTGCCTGCTCCTGCTGCTCCTACTACTACATGTGCCGCTGCTGCTGTTCCTGCCGCTGCCGCTCCGCAGGCTCCCAGGCTGCACCTGTCTCTACGGCTCGGCTCTTTCAGACACGTACGTAACCTGGCTCACGGAGACAAGCGGCGCACGCTGGCGTGACACGTCTGTTTGTTCGTATAAATCGCTTTGTGGTGCTGCTGCTCCCGCTAATGCTGCTTCTGCTGCTTCATACTGCTACCGCTACTGCTGCTACTGCTGCCGCTGCTGCTTCATACTGCTACTGCTGCCGTGCTGCTGCTGCTTCATGTACTTTGTCATCTCTCTTCACTTCGCTTCTCTTACTGAAACACTAAACAGCTACAACATATTGTACTGCCGTGGCTTTGATACAGGATTTTTGCCGTTATTATCTACGGATGCTGCAGCTGCTGCTGCCGCGGCTGATACAGGTCGTTGCCTTTATTATCTGAGGTTACTGCTGCTGCCGCTGCTGCTACTGCTACTGCTACTGCTGCAACCCACTCTCTCAGAAGCTTATCCTGCTTCTAATGGATGCAGCCCGGCCGAGTATGCCGCGCTGCGCTGGACTCGCACCTATGCTCCCAGGGTCGCTTCGGCGGTCATGCTTCATCTCTCTACTTAATCTTCTGATTCTATCAGATGCAACTGGCCGAGTAGCTGCGCTGAGCCGTCTATCGGACTCCTAATCAAAGGCATCCATACCTGTATTCTTCACTCTTCTGATCGCAGGCTCCCCATCACGCTGCCCATCCTGCAGCGGCTCTGAGCGGCACTGAACTCCGGCTCATCTTCCAAGTACATGTCTGCCCTCCTCGCAGCATCTTCCTGCTCGCCTTCTATGGCTTCTCTACATAAGCGTTTCACTACTGCTCACTCAACCTTCATGCGGTCCGAGACACGGCTTTTCCCGACCATCCTACTATCCTGATTATCTACTCTCCAACCCAAGATTCTAAGCGTAAGGACGCCTGCAACTTCAATGGCCCTCTCCGATATGTCTCTGCCCCTACAGGTCTCCGCTTCTACACGGACGTGCCCCTTCCGTGGGTTTTGGGGGGTTTTTTCCAGGACCATTGGGTTGCCGGGCCGTGGCCGCTACTTTCCACCGGAGCATCTCCTCTGCCCTACACAAGATATTCCCAGTGGTCGGGGCCTGCGCGCTGCGGAATCACACGTGGCAGAGAAAGAGGATCTCTGTCATGCGTGATAATCTCGACGTAGTGGAAGCATTACACAAAGGTCGCTCTTTTTCACCCAACATAATGTCCCCTGACCCTTTCAACCTTCATCTCAAACATTCAAAGACCAAGGCGCCTGCAACATAATAATAGCTCACTCCGACACATCTCTCTGCCCCTACAGGTCCATGATGCGTTACACTCGCCTCCGCTGTAAAAAGGAGAGTTTAACGGACCTCTAATTCTCACTCCAGTCAACCTTCCCATCACAGCAACCTGGTTCACAGCTCAGCTAAGATCCCTACTGCTCCTCTGCAATTGTCTCCCCAGCTCCCCGGCTCCCCCACACCTCTCTGCAACAGCTGGGGCGCCGGTCCTCTTCGGCTTTCTCCGCCTACATCAGGCCAGACGCGTCCGCTATCCTGCCCGCACAACGTCTACTGGCTTCCTCGTAAGCTCCCAGCAAAGCAATACGAAGCAAAGTAAGTGAAGCAATAAGATTCTGGTGGCGGCACGCACTTTTCTCAAACACTCTCCGCTGCCGCAGCGTCTGACGGAACGTGTTGCGAGCGCTCACGTTCCCAGCGCGCAAAGATAACCCTGCCGCAGCGTCCGGTTGATCGTGATGCGAGCGCTCACGTCCCGGCGCTCAAAGATAACCGCATATAACGGTCACAGCATATAGTGATAGCGGTCATAGCGTCAGTGATAGCGGTCATAGCGTCAGTGATAGCGGTCGTAGCGTCAGTGATAGCGGTCGTAGCGTCAGTGATAGCGGTCATAGCGTCAGTGATAGCGGTCATAGCGTCAGTGATAGCGGCCATAGCGTTAGCGTTAGCGGTCACAGCATAGCAAAAAATGGTTAGCGCATAAACGGTCACAGCATAGTGATAGCGGTCACAGCATAGCGATAGCGGTCACAGCATAGCGATAGCGGTCACAGTATATAGCGATAGCGGTCACAGCATAGCGATAGCGGTCACAGCATAGCGATAGCGGTCACAGCATAGCGATAGCGGTCACGACGTCTGTCCCCTGCAAACTAGGCTGCAAAACTCCATCAACTCACAGCCTTTTTGGGGATTCTACGCGCTCCAGCGCAGGAGCCTCTCCGAACTGAAGGCCGCACCGGGGCCTAGGGCGCCAAACCACCTCTCATTAAAATACTCAAAAGCATTCTTGTTTTCTCGTCTCTCCAAATTGAATTGTGAGTTTGTTGGTTTTTCACAGCCCACTCCCTCAGATCATCTTCAAAGTCCAAATCACTTTGTTTTTCTGATTCTTCATCGGTGCCATCAAGGTTGGTGTCAGCCACATCGAGGTCAGTCCCAGACACGTCCTCATCAAGATCGGTTTCAGACCCACAATCAGATCCAGAAACATCACCAGATGCAGTTCCATGTTTATCAGCATCGAGCAGAGGCAGTTCATTGTTGGAATCTACATCAGATTCTTCCTCACTGCTTTCTTGGAGCAGCTGGAACATCTCACGCCTTCTGTTCCTCCATAGCCGCAAGTACGCCATCTGAAATAATTGAGTCATTGTCCCAGTTTGCACAGTCTATGAGTTAAGTGAAAAGGGGACAGTAGGATCTTGTACAAACCCTGTAAATGAATGTTGGCTGAAATTTTTTTCTGAAGAGGGCGTGCGTTTCTCACTTTTCAAGAATACCTTCAATGAAGTTGATACCTTTTAGAGGTTGTAGCTGCCATATAAACCGTAGTCTAGATTTGCTGAATATCTTCCCCTATGCAAGACTGCTGATTAGTGTATCTATTCTAGTCGGAGGGGGCGACCACTCAAACATCGTACAAAGCTACACCAGTGGGACCGCGAGGGGAAGGGGGTTCTAGGAGCCTCCGTTCAAACATTTATAAATGTAATGACCTTTAGATGACTCCTTTCATGTTAATTTCATTTTTTCCATTGTTTATTTATTCCTTTCATAAAAATGCTGTAGCACTTATCAGCTTCAAAACATATACATAAATCAGACATTCACATGATTGGAAAGGAGCAGAGGGGAAGAAGAATATTCTTATGTTTATCTGCCTCTTTTTCTGCAACATTGAAATAATGTGACGGACCCCATCATCATCATCGCGAGCAACTGTGTAGTCATTTGTCCTCTTCTGTCCAAAGCTTCCCCTTCTCCTTCTCCTTCGGCCTGAAGCCTATTGTGCACATGTGAGCAGTGCACACGTACTATGAGCAGAGTAGTACACATCTTGTAGTCTTGAATATCCATTGATTTAGCGCGATAAATGGCCTTACAAAATAGGAACGAGCGTGTTGGAGGTAAAAGGAGAAGTACTTCCGGCTCACACGGGTCCGGATGTGACGTCGCCGAGTGAGTAGCGCTCGTTTGGCTTATTATTCATATTTTTATAACTAATAAGGTGAAGGAAGTTCCATTTCAAATTATTCACAAATGTTATCAAGCAAATCATTATGACAACATTTAAGAGACATTGATGTGAAATGCTATTGTGAAAACCACTCAGAGACTGTTCAGCACATGTTTTGGATGTGATCTCCTGTTATCTTTGAAGGCAATAAGATGTTTTCATGTTTATAAATGTATTGATCAT